GCAATTCAGAGGCAGCACTTTGCCAACTTTCTCGTCGATAAGAAATGAAGTCTAGGCTTCTTTATCAACAACGAAAAAAACACTACTGAAAATTATCAAATAAGACAAGAAATTTTTTTTTGTTGACTTGTTCGTTGATCTACATGGATCGTTATTGATATAGATTTTAATGAGTATAGCTTCAATAAAACAAATCTGGAAATAAGTTTGCATTAAATCTTTCATCATATAGTTATTAATAAAATACCAATATGCTACATGAGACATTGTTTCGTATTCCGCATTGTGACTTTTTATTTTAATTTCAATACTTGTTCTCTACGTCGTTTTCACAAAGTCAATCCTAAGATTTACACGAAATCATACCGCTATGACCTTAACTTTTTAAATAATTCTCACTAATGATCAACATATATTTAGGATTGCACAAATTCTTCTGATAAAAGAAGTATTTTTTATTTGAATACTCGTTTCAAAATTGAAAAATCCTATTCTATGGTACAAGAAAGACAAATAGCTTTTGAGTTTTTGTTCTATTCTCATTTAAAAAAAAAAAAGAACAAAAGTTAAAAAAATAGAATCAACATCTTAAAGCTCTTTTATCAGTTTATCATTGCCTTATGTAATTGTTTATACTAGACTTCCTTTTTATTTAAACTTTCAAAAAATGCTATTCCATTTATTTCTGTTTTTCGTTATTAATAAGAATCGTAACATAAAGTTTTTCTTTTTATTTTCAACGTATTTTTAAAATTAATAGATTGGAAGTTGTTTTTTCTTGGTTTTTAAAATATTTTTTTGAACAGTGAATAAGAACAAAAGTAAAGTTAGACGAAGTCGGTTAAATTCTTCTGTAAAAATTTAAGTTTGTTGATAAATCGAATGTGGAATTATTTATTTTTTTATTTTTTTTTATAATTCATTTTTACCCAACAATGATCTCATCGAGTGTCGGTAAAGTAAAAAAATGAATAATCTCTGTTTATCATTCCGATATTGACTAATTAATATTATTTATTCATCTGAAATTAGTTTTGATTTATTTTTATGTCCTTCAAATTTTGGTAGACCATCGTTTTTGAAAGAATCACCCAAAATTGTTCTTTGTCCATAGAATATATGACAGGATGGTTTTAATTTTTCTCGAACTGTTTCGGATAAACGAAATTCTGTAAATGTTTGTGGAAATGCCAACCACATTCTACGTCCTTCATCAGCCAATGGTGACGAACATTGTTTACAACTGACTTTACATGGTAAAATATGACTTTGAATATTTTCACCACTATTATAAAATTTTAATGAATCTAAACCTGATTGAAAAAATAAACATGTTTTTGGAAATATACAAGCCCATTGATATGGTGCACCCTGTAATTTCTGACATCCATGACAATGACAATAGGTTGAATCGATTGGTAATTCATCATAAATAACATATTGAACTAAACCACAGTAGCATGATGCATGATATTTTATTAATTTATCATCTTGTTTTGCATTAGAATAAGGTGGATTAGATTTCCAATCCAAAGACATCTCAAAATGAATTAAAAAGTTAATATCTTATGACAACTCATTGAATTCATCAGATTAGCTCTCTTATTCACTACTAAATTTGATATGAATATTAATAAGCATGGTTAGTCGATATCAACTAAAATGTAGGTATTGCTTAAAATATAATGTTAATGGACCAATCAGAATTGAGTTTCGTTTACTAATGAAAATGATGAGTGTGCCTCATCGAAGTCGCTGTATATATTCGACAAATATTTTTTTTTTCGACATGATAGTCCATTCATTTTATTTAAATACGAACTAAAAGATAATAATAATTCGAATATTCAATGTATCTCTTTTTAAAATTATAATTCAGATAACAAAATACTCTTTTAAGAAATTTCATGTTTGACTTCAAATCAAGACATAAACGACGTTTCGCTCTGTAAACATGTATTACAATTATGTATTTCGACTACATGATATTAACAAGGTTTCAGATCTCATGGTTGCATTTATTGATATATAAAGATGCACATCAATTGAATTCGAAATTAATAGCGTTTCATTTTTCTATACAAGACAGTAATTAGTAAGTCTTTTTTGTCATGATTTAATCATATGGCGTAGAGAAAATAAGAGAGATGAGACATTGTATATTACTCATACAATTAAAAAAGACGCAAATAGAAAGTAATTTTATTTAATTAATGTGAATAGAAAAGTTGCATAATAATTAAAACGATCATAATGTTCAATTTGAAAAAAAGAACAAAATTGGTACTTTTCTAGCTCAAAATCATCTGATTCAAATGAGATATGACATTTGATCTTATCTTATGTCATAAAAAATTCGATAGATTAACAAAAGTATATATATAAACACATACTTTAACCTTAAGTATATATATTGATAGCAATTTTTTATGTTACTTATTTTCATTCTAAGAAAATAATATTTTTCTACTCAGTTTTTTATGCTGAATTTGCAAAAAACAACTATGTTGTAACAGCTGAAAAAAATGATGATAGAAACTTAAGTTGTTTTAAGAAAAAAAAGATTATGCTTTGATCTATAGTCTTATCAATATTTGAAGCTTTTTACAACGGACAAGTTATTTGCAATAAAAGTAATATATTCATACTCAGCTCTTTAAGCTCTATAAATTCATACATAAATCAATGAAAAATAAAATCCACTTGACTTTTGTATTATGTACATTATAGAATAATATATATCATCTATTCGGAATTCGATGCTCAAAAAATGAATATATTCATTTATTTATTATTAAAAATACTTTTGAACTTCATTTTCTCATGTCGATGCAGAAGAAATAATTCATGTAGACATTTGAATATGAATATGTGAAAATGAATATTTTCTTTACTTATAATTAACACGCAGTATGTGTTATGTTCTCCTTAATGGAAATGAAAATGGGAATATATTTTTAAATAAAAAAAAATTATTTTGTATTATTCTACGTAATTAAAAACGAGATCAATCTAAGTTTGTTTTCATCTATAATTAAATTTTGTCTATAACACCTATTTACTCAATAATATCAAAAAAAAAATGTTGATTTGTCACGATTTTATATTCGTTTATATGAATATGTAATGATCGTGTTCTGTTAAAATTCTTGTTCTGTTCTGCTTTATCGTTTCGTTTTACTCATGTTGACATGACACATACTAAGAGAGCAAAAGTAAGATAAAGAAACAAAGAAAACATGACTACCTGTGGAAGTTACTTTTATATTTTTCATGCTAATATAACACGTGTAAGACTAGAATACATCGATCGAAATAAGAAAAATAAATATTATTTTGCCTACCTATTCGTAGTTAAATACATTGTGAGTGTTCAAATAAATAACGAGATGGTCTTAAAAAGTTTCATTAATTATATTATCAATAAATATCTTAAAAATTACATTGAACGAATTGATTATGAAAAAGTCAGTTTAAGTTTGAAGAGTGGTTAGTATTTTTTGTTTTTTATTGTATCTGATTATCAATCCACTTTTTTTCCTATAGGAAAGATCTTCTTGGATAATCTTCGTCTGAAACCCGAAGCATTGGTTTGTGAAGTTTTTTTTTTCGATAGAATTTTTCTTTAAATAAAAAGTTAATCTAAATTATAACTTATTGTTTTTTGTTCTCTTCATGTAATATAGGCCTATCTCAATATTCCAGTTACAGTAGCCGTTGGATATTTAGGTAAGCTTGGTCTTATCATTACGATCAAAAAGTAATTTTTATGAATGCTTTGTTTTTTGATAGAACAATTGAGAGTGTCGATTCCATGGAATAGTCTCTCGACGAGTCCAACCGAAGTTCATATTGATGGACTCTATATGTTGATTGTGCCAAAGAATGGTACGTGAATAATCTATTCGTTAAATTTTACAAATAAGAAATATTGAATTCATACAATAAGAAAAAAATTAATCATGTTATTCTACTTCGAGTGATTTAGAATAGAACTTGAGATTGTTTTAATTTTTTATAGTCGAACGATTATTTATAAATATAAGAAAGCCTCTTAAAATACCATGATAGAGAGAGGTCAAACATAAATTTACTATATATAATATTGTTTAGTGCCGATTGTAGAAAGAAAATGAATTTAAAGTGTTGCTAAAGTACGCTACATATTTTTTTTCTATTTTAAAGATCTAATGTAAAAAATACTCAAACTGTTTTCTCGTTTTTTAAACTAATATTTTGTCTATGAATACAATTCGACCCAACTAAGAAAATTGTTCGTTGCCATAAGATGTTAGTCAATTTTTTAAGATTGTTTTACTGAATTTTCCGTCTAGAACAAATAAATTCATGAGAAATTTCAATGAACAAATTTTGATTTAAGATTATTGTCATAAATAGATGTAATAATTGCTAGCATATTTCAAAATTTTTAGTGAAAATAGATGTACCTTTCTTGAGATATTTAATAATAACCACAGTTCAATTATTGTAATCTGCTTGTTATAAGATGTAACATTTTAAAAATTCAATACCATATGAAGAAAACGTCTATTGTAGATAAAAATTTGATGTACACTCGAAATCATTAGATCCATTTGTAACAAGAATTTCAGATCAAAATTTGTTTATTCGAATTTCATGTAGATTCTTTGTCGTAGACCGAAAATTCAATAAAACAGTTGTAATATTTGACAGAAAAATAATGAGAAATATACATTTTAAAATTTTCTTAGTCGTATCAAATTCTATTCGCATATAAGATATCACCTAAAAAAAACGTATAAAAAGTTAAGATATTTATCTTGTTAAGTCTATTTGTACTTTTTTTAAGGCTAATCGACAAGAAAAACATTTCATTTCACATTATATTTACTATCCATCGTTTTCAACTAATTCTATTGAGTCATGAGTTATATCAATCAAGAACTTATATGATTTGAACATAATAATATCACTTTTTTTTAATTGAAGAAAAATAAAATTTTTATTTTTAAATAGAAATGAGTCAAGATTTAAGCGAACATTATGCAGAGAAATCAAAACGAGTTCAACAAAAATTGGAAAATTTTCGAAGAGTTGCATCGGGTTAGTAGTAGAATTTTTTTTTGTTGTTGTTTTATACGAATAATTTAACAGAAAATGCAATATTTGACAATAAGGAATGGGCATTTGTCGAACGAATGAGACTTCAAGTTATGCGAAATATGATTTTAACAATTCGAAATATACATGTTTGCTATGAAATGAAATCTCCAACTAAATTGGGACATCCATTTTCATTTGGAATTACTCTTCATTATATACATTTAACGGTAGTAATCTATTCGATATTTTACAATTCTTTAAAAAGTAAGATACAATTTTTTAGACGGCAACCAATACGAAGTTCAATAAACGATCTAAAGAAGATACACTTCTTACTTATAGAGTCTGTTCAAAATTGTGTCTTTTTTTCTATTGATGATAAATCGTTACGAAAAATTATTTTAGATTAACGAAATTAAGTCATTGTCAATCTATTGGAATACAAAATGTAAATCAAGACTTAACATGTCATTCAAAGAAGTTCTGGTGAGAGTTTTAATTCATTCGAAAATAAAACTAAGATCATCTATGATAATATGTATTAGGATTCGAAGAAATTCGTTTCCATAACTTGTGAAATGCATTATCTCAGCGTCAATAATATAATTTTGAGAGGTTTTTTAGAACTGATAAATAGTTTGAATGTCATTTTTCAACTATAGGAACAATTGTGTAAAGACTGAAACTTTGTAACGAATCAAAAATGATTTGAGTAGTCTTTCAAGTTTCTTTGTGCAAGAAAAAAGAAATTTTTCATCATATAGATTGCCTTAATTCAACTTGATTAGGATTTTAAAATATGTTCCGATTTAATATAAATATATTCTAAATTTATTTGATGTCATAAATAAATTTTGTGATGAAAGAGTGAATAATTTTAGGATGATCTTAAATTAAAAATAGCCACGAATAATTATATACCAAATGACGATGAAATGAAATACGGTTTGTTTTCTATTCGATCTTTCTATGTAAAATATGACAATTTTGCCTTTTCTTTAATTGTTTTTCCAACAGTTCTTCGTCCTTTGAATCTTATCACTGAAATCTGGATTACATTAAAACCTAAACAACATCATTATGAACGATCGACATTAATTTTTAATATTCAAATTCCAAAAATGAATTTTCATGTTGATGCAGAACAAATATCTGATATACTTGATTTTGTTAAATTTCAAAATTATACGAAATCCTATGGTATAGTTATTATTATTATTATTTATTTATTTTAGCGTCATCGTGAATATCCATGTTATTTTTCTTTTTAAAGATCGATGTCATGAATATCGTCAACTACTATTGCAAGTGTCATTAGGTATCGAACCATTGACACAAGACCAAAAACAACGTATTCAAGTAATTATTGAAATTAACAACTAGAGTGTAATATTGTTGTTTTATATACAAAAGTTTCTCGAATCAAAATTGGACATTTTTCATCTGGCTTATATTCGTCATAAAGTTGAAATAGAAACTAACCATTTCTCTTCAAACATGGAAACAAATGATATTGATCAAACACAACAGATCGCAACGAATCAAATATCGGTCAATAGTTCTGCTCAAAATACTAAAACAGATAGTAAACTTCACCGAATCCATTCGTTGTCCAAAGTAAAAAATAGCTTCAATCATTTCACTAAAAGTATGTATTATCAATGATCTAAGAGCAATTCATCAGCTTTAACATTTTTACAATAAAAAAAAAAACAAACTTCATAGACTCTTAAGAAAATGAATCTTTTTTTTGCATTAATTCTAATTGATGAGTTTTTTTTCATAGGTAAAGTTGATATTATAGAAAATTAATCAAGATTTTTAAATCCCAAAAAATTTAACTAAGTTCAGCACATATTTATATTTATAATGCTTGCGCAAAAATTTGAATAACCTTCAATCATTTACAGTAAAGAGTTCTCAATAATTTTATGTTAGAAAAGAATAAGTTGCTTAGACTTCATATGTTCTAACAAAATTCTAAAAGATTGATTAATAAATAATCTCAAATAATATGACTTTCAAATCTCAATCATTCTTAATTATATATTGTTACTTAATTTAGATCGTCGGCATACAAAAACAACAACTACAGCAAATATACCAAATGGAGCAGATTTCTTATTTGACGATGTAAGTTATCTCGATATTTATTGTGAGATTTCTCATACTATCATAGTCTTTTATTCTATTCATTTTTTTAAAAGTTGCCCAAGATAGACGCTGAAATAAATTTCAATCAAGTAAATTTAAATATCTTATCAACAGCTACAAACACTAGGTATTCTGTCAAATGACTTTATATAAATTAAAAATATGCGAGCCTAACATTAGAATAGAAAAAAACTAAGATTTGATTGTGCACGCATCTAGATATAATAATTGATATTTATAACTATTATTCATTTAGATTAATGGCCAACAGAGCCAATAACGAAATCATTGCCTGCATTAGCATAACTGAAGCTTCGATGAACCTAAAGAAAATGTCTATTACATCGAGAATCGAGTAAATTAAAATATAGATTTTTATCTATTGTCTGTTTATCTTTTTGCTTTTATGATTAAGATGTATGATTGAACTGCAATTTATGCACGTATTTGGTGCAAATCGTGATAACCAATATCGACCCATATTGATAAAACCAATATTATCATCATCGTCTCCACTCTTACATATCGAATTTGAATTGTTTACCGCGAGTTCGAAATCAGACAATCGCTTGTATTTGACTATGGAACCGATTGAATTTATCTATGATGCTGTGAGTAAAAACAAAATATATTTAATATTACGAATTAATGAATCCATCAAGCTGTATTTTTTCAGACAACTCAAATCAGTTTCTATTTATTTCAGTTCAAACTATAAATAGCTACAAACTGTTGTTTTTTATTTCATAGCCGACGATTAATCAACTTATTGACTGTTTTGAAGCTAATAATGATGTTATTTGGCCACCAATGCCAAAGTTCGTTGATCTATCTTAGTCGAAAAATATAATTTATTCGTCTTTAATATTTAGACTAATTCAACACACAATTATAGAAATGAAACAGAAGTTATCATTTAAGAAAATCTTGGATATGACCGTCAATTTGAAAGGAGCATCTATTCTTTTACCAGAATGCGGAGTCTATCAACCGTAAATAACTTTTTATTTCGTTTTCTATAACTCTTTTATTCATAGAGGTTTTTCAATGCTTCGTATTAATTTTGGCAATATGATGCTGAAGTCACGACTCGAGAATAGTGATGACGATATTGATAGATCTTTATTTAAGGTATATATTATTATTTCAATATCTGTTCACTAACTTTTTCTGAAGTTTTTTGTTAAGTATGGCTTTGTTCTTTAATTTTTTTCTTTCTGTATTAAAGGAACAATCTGAAGAACAAGAATTCTATGCAAAATATAAATTAGAATTGAGCGATCTACGAATAATGTATACGCGTTCAAGTATTTTCTCTTAGCATAAATATGAAGATAAACAATTAATTTATATTTCTTGATAGGAAAAAACCGACTACATATTCTTCGACGAACACCATTAATTGATGTTAATTTTTACAAATGTATCTTTTCGAATGATGCAAATTTAACAAGGTATAATAGTTTTGGGTTGAACTTTCTATAATATTTACTTTTCTCTATACATTAGTTGGCGTATTGGTGCAAAGGTTGTCATGAGTGACATTCAATTATCGAAAACAATTCTAGCAAAACTAATGTATCATTTAAAATCTATACCATTAATTTATTCAAACATGAGTTTCATGATAAAACGAATCAACTTTTATTGTAACCAACTTTTTAGTTCTTTTTATTGATTTAATTTGTTTACTTTTCTTAATTTCAGTCACTCTTTTTTCACCATATGCAACTGTAACAAATGATCTTTCAATTTATAATTGTTGTCTCCGACTTCTTGGGCATTCGCAAACATTGATTAGAACAGGTCAATTCATTTTATTCTTCTTTTTATTCAAATATTCTTTTTTTGTTTGTTCTATGATACAGATTTGCATATTTATTTAAAAACGACAAGAGAAGACAACTCTACTGACACATATGTATCTGTCGTGTTAAAAGAACCAATGATGATACAACATTTGCTTGCAGAAATAAAGCAGTAATTATATATTCTAACTACTTTTAACCATATTTTATTTATTTTGATTGAATTTTCCTTCACATAGATTATCGCGACCGTTTTATCGATCTAAACATATCAAGTTGGTGTATGATGATTCTTATACAAAACTATAATCATCGAATTTGTTATTTATTAACTATTTTGTATGGTTCGAGAGTACAATAATAAATATAAGAAGCTAGAACGAATTCAATAGAGACTTAAAAATATATTTATTTACATCTGGATGTATACTAACGATATAATTTTTGTTCCATTTATAAAAATGATATTCCCTATCAGTTTTATCAAGTTATAGAACATAAAAGTTTTGATTAATTCCAAAAGAGCTTATTAAGTTGGTTATCATAATTATTAGTCCATGTGATAAAATAATCTTAGCTTTGTCAATATTTTCTTATACAATATCAAACATGTTCAGATATTATTTTGATATACAGAATGTTTCAAAAATCGGAAAGAAAAAAAACGTGAATAAAGCTTCTTAACAGTTCAAGGGATGCAAATAGTTGTTTCACAATTTGTTCACATATTCATTAATGTTTTATTCAATATATGTCAGACAATATGTTTGTGTCTACAGAGGTCAGAACTAAAATAGTTTTACTAATGATCAAATCTGAGAGAGTTATCGTTGTAAAAAGAAAACTGCAAGTTGATTTGACAAAAAACGTCAACTCAATCCTGTATTAGAATCCTATTTTCAAGATTTTATGATATTGCTATTGTCAAAGATCAATGAGTTTCTGAAAGATCGTAAAATAATTCCTGAAGAAAAGACAATGAAGTTAATGCTACCTATGACAATGAATCAAGGCCAAGTATTCGGTCTATTGCACAAGCTTACTCATTGCCACAAACAAGAACATACCGGATTATGAAGGCAAATCTCTTATTAAACTCATATAAGTTTCAATACCTTCAACAGTTATGCGAAGATGAGTTATATAGACCGAGCATTTAACCCTAGGTCATTTTTACACGAATCATTAACTTGAGTGATCAAATTGTGAAACAACTATTTACATCCATTTACCTGCTAAGGAGTTACTAATGTTGTTTTTTCGTGAATTGAAGTTATTCTCTGTAGTTTATATTCTTCTTAAAATTCGAAATTTATCGGATGTTTTTCATTTTGAAACTTTCATAATAATCTGTATCGATTCGACGGGTTGCAGAAATTTCTGTTCATGGAATTTCTGGCTCAGATCTTTGATTCGGTTCGTAATTCTGGTGACTTTTCAGACCAGGCCGAAGTTCCTGAAGACATTTCAGTCCGTGCTTAGATTGACCTCTTTAAAAAATTCTATTTTTTAAATTAATTCCTACACTTCGTACTGCTCAAAATGACGACATAGTATGAGCATTGATGTGAGTGATGATCAAAAAAGAATCCACATTCTCATATCCGCACTATGTGGTCGTGGTGAACACTACGTTTTGTAAAAAATAATTACGGAAAATAGGTTTTTTTATAGAGGTCAATGAGGTCAACCTAAGCACAGGCCAAAATTCCAATATACCAATTCGACTCTTCGTTTTGGTAGTATGTTTTTAGGAGAATATAATCTTCATAAAAATGTATACAAACACATTTATACAGATAGACACTTCAAATTATAAAACTTCAGCTGATTTTTTTTATAAAAAGAAGTTAATCAAAGTCTTGTGCCAATGCAGGAATAATTTAAAATATTCAATTTGTAGACAAATTGGCGATCATAATATAAACAATCATCCTTGTACATATTAATATATTGAATGCTGGTATAACATAATATATAAGCATAAAATTGCTGATATATTGATATATCTACCACATGCATTGGCAATAACTACATATTTATTTAAAATATGCTCTTTTTTGGTTGTTTATCATCTACATGAACACCCCTTTACAATTTCTATGGCTTTTTGTGCTACTATTGATGCTGATGCCGGATTATCACTACTAACTAATCGATCATCTACTACAATAAATGCACTCATTAGATTAATATTTGGTGGCTCATATGAATTAAACAAGAGAGTAAATATTTCTATAAATTTTCTAATGCAATTACCTGCCAATCAGCTCCTAAACCTCGCAATAAATCTTCCATAAATGGTAAATTATGTTCTTTTAATCTATCTGTAGGCATCAATAATTTTTCACCACTTGTATGAAATGTCCTAACTTTCTTTCGTTTGATTAATAATTCATTATTTACTTTTAAATTTGTAAAGATAGCTGGACCATGACATACAGCTGCAATAACTCCACCATTCTGATAGATAGATGAACCTATACGTTGTAATCCCGTAGCTTTTGGAAAATCAACGGCAGCTCCATGACCACCTGAATAATATATAATAACATATTTATTAGGATCAACATCGTCAGGTTTTTTTAATTGTGCTCCTAATAATTGATGTAATGGATGAGTTCTATCATTGAGCGCTCTTCAACTTTCTCTATCAATTTGAGCATATATAGAAGACGATTCATCTATACCAACTGTTCCTGTTTCACTAACAATACCTACTTCGTATCCATAATTTTTAAATGTTTCATAAAGATGCAATACTTCTGTCCTAAGATCAAACAAATAATAGCCTGCATGTCATGAAAATCAAAATACACATACCAAAAATAACTAGTCTTAAGTCCTAGTGGCCAAAATTTCACATTTACACTAGTTATTGTTATTAGAACTCGATTGAGTGTTTGAGCCATAATCAATCAGAATATTATACGACGGCAAAAATTTGAGTTATATTCTTTCACTTGAATATGCTTATCTAAAACTATGCTGTTAACTGTTGGTTGTGGAAGCTAAACAATCACCATCTATAAGATAGGTGGTGCAAACATACAATGATTTTATAATGTTATGATATAGAATACTAGCCACGAAGACCAATGTAAGTTACGACGTGGTTAGCATGCTATCAATGAGTCATCTGAGGTAATTGATCGTTCATGACTTGCACAAGTCCCTCTTATGATTGGTAGCGCTGAAACTCGACTGCATTGCTCTATGAATATGTGCCAAACTATGTAATCACCCAACTATAGCGATCTCATATATATATGAGCAGGGATCCATGATATGTCATTTAATGAAGCAAAAAATGCTCAACGTAATTTGTTAAAAGTATCCATAGTATGCATGTGATTTAGATTATATTTGCTACAAATACATATTAAATCTCCCTCTCTCTCTATGTATATATATGTATATATAGATAACATTGGATAACTAGCTGATGTACCCTACTGTTTATTATTCGAATAGATTATATTGCAATTATTCTTTGCGTATGAAAAGCTCTTAGTACGTCCTAGAATATTGAACGAATACTAAAATTTAAAATGCTTGAGCGATATTTAGCATTATTTCAATGTAAAAATTGTTATCACATCAATTATATTCTAGTTGCATGGAATATGACGATATTCAAGGAATATTTTCTTTCTTTGTTCACAAGAATCTACAGTTAGTTTTTCTCTATTGAAACCAATTATATGAATCTAAGAAAATAATATGTTATTGTCATTCTAAATGATTTTTCTCTAACATAACTCGACTACTGATCATATTGAATAATGAAAATTCTTTTCTTTATTGACAATGATTGGTGGTCTGATATAATGTAAAAGAATCATTTTATTTTCAAAATAACAAAAGTTCAATAGAATGAATGTTTCTCTCTGTTTACTATATTGATAATTTTAGAATATGCAAAACAAAAACAACAGTGAAACTATAGTAATTTTCATTTTTATAATGTAATCAGTCGATATATGTTTCTGTATTTTATATAAGAAGAGAATTAATGGACAACATCGA